AGGAGGGAGCACACTGGAAGAGACCTGTGCTTTCCAACTCCTACACGATTTTCAGCTTTATCCATGAGACTCAGAAGTCTGCTGTAAGCCAATATCAACTCATCTGCACTGAAAGTGCCCATAAATTTTGATTTGTAGCCAGAGCAGTGCTAAATGCAGCTCTAAGTGCAACAAGAGATGAACAGATACTATGGACACTTCTCCCAGATGCTGTCAAGTACCACTGGATTTTTTTGGAGCATGGCAGCATTTGGAATTACACTTCAGTGGAAGTAATTTTTAAATAAAGATAGACTAGGGCATATTTTATGAAAACTTTTGAGCCATACTGATTGCAGAACTCCAAACCTCAGTGTCAGCCTCAAGTATGGAGCATGACAAGGCAGCACAGGCCACTGCAAGCTTGAGAGTGAATATCCAGGCAAATGAAGGCTGTGGATAATTTGACTCACTGCATGGCTGAGGTTATAAATTCACACAAAAGCAGTCTTTCTTAAACCTGGTTTTTTGCCACTCAAGTGTTTTGACCTCTTCTAAAACCCTTGACTTGCTGCAGGATGTGGGAAGTGCCAGTGCCAGGGCAGAGGAAAAGCCATTGGGAATTTACAGAGCATATAAAGAGCAACAGAACAAGAAACAAGAGTGTTGTAGAGAAGCCCGATGGTTTCACCTCCTCTGGCTCAATGAGCTTGAACTCCATCCCTCTCCCAGTCCAGGCAATGAAGTGGGAATTGGTGGGGTTGTCCAAGAGGGCCACGAGGAACTGCCAGAGCTGCAGCGAGCCCCGTCTCTGGTAGGGGGGTCCTTCCCTGTACCCTGCCCCTTCCTGCTTGAGGTCTCCTGCTGGCAAGGACAAACAAGACAATCTCTAAGGAGAACAGTGAAAAAAAAGGGGGAACAAAAGCAGCACATTTCGCTGTTTCAAAATGTTTACCTGGAATATTTCAGTTCACATAAAACAGTGGTAAATTCACAAGAGCAGCTCTGATATGAGTCACAATTAAGCTGATTATGCTAGAAGGCCTGGTTGCTGCTAAGAAAGCTCAAAAAATGAGCAAAACACCAAAAAGCTGGGTACAAAAACACAAGGGTAATGAACCATGTAGGTACTGGCCAAGGGGCTGGCTAAGGTGATGGATAACCCTATCTTATATAAAAACTCCAAGCCTTTCTTTCTCCAACCTTCAAATTTCTCTGGAACAACACAGACATCATCAGCAAAGGGCCTCATCTGCTTGCCATAGCCTGGAAGAGAAAGCAACAGCAGCAGTCAGGGTGGGAGCAGAGGGGCAGGGAGAAAAGGCAGCGCCTGCAGCTCTCACCTGGTGCATCCTCTGTGCTGGCGTGGCTGGGGTAACCCTCAGCGTTCATGTACATGGAAGGGCAGTCAGGAGCATCTACAGAACAATTAACAAATTAACAAACCCATTTGTTTGAAAAGCACAGGTGGACAGGTGAGTTTAACCAAGGTCCTCTTGGAGCCCCGCTAAAAGGTGAGAGTCAGACTGATAACTACAGCTCCATTTGCATTATCCTTTAAATCACGAATTAGAGCAGTAAAATTTTGTGGCACCATCCTTCAGAGTAGCCAGGATATCCAGCCAATCACCTCCACATCGCTTTTACACAAAATCATGTATAAATCAATATTCCAAATCAATCTGAACCTCTCTCTCCTCTTAGTTTAAGATAATTACACACTTTGCTGCTGCTTTAAGAAGGCATTACATTTTTCCAGGGGTACCGTGATGCTGAAAATGGAGAGCAGCAGCATCTGAATGTTTCTAGAGTCTCACAAATGACATTTCAGATGCCTCAATTCTCCCTGGCTTTTTCACATCATGAGGGGGCATTCTCACAATCAGCTTAGAAAATATAAGAGAAAAACTAAAAACAAGCAGGAAGTCTTTTCCTGGTTCTGTGTGTAAAGTGCTGTCTGTGCACTGCAATTTGTGTTTTCTGAATCTATTTGTGTTTTCTGAATTTATTTACTGTGCACAGCTCAAACAGAAGCTGTAACTTTGCAAAGGTTTATGTTCCATTTCCCTCCCACACCTGTGTCTGGCCATGGCTGCCAGATTTTTGCTGATGCTGAGGGAAGAGAACTCTGAGCTGACAGTCTGGGTGTTATTACAACCATAAACTCTCACAAAAACCACATTTCCATCCTCTGGGCTTGCACATTTTCTGAACAGACCCAGTGAAATTGTAATACCAATATCACAACAGTGATCCCCTCATAGGAGCTTTTGATTTTTGTGTTTATTTCTGCTAAAGGAAACCATTCCAGCTGTCCATTAAAATACCAGGAAAGCAGAGGTATCACTCCCTCTGGAAGAAGGGTATTGTGATCTCAGGGTAGTGAGTCAGAAAAATAAGAAAAATAAGATTTATCCCTTGTGGAAAAATAAGAGAATCACCTGGTGGAGATATCTGGCATCTAGAGAGCTCTTTCTGGCATCACTGACTTCAACACATTTAATTCCTTCCTTTCTGCTGCTGTTTACTGTTTTCACCATGATTTCTTCAAAACTGACCTCACTTACTTTCTAAGCTCACAAATACCCCCAAAACCAAAAACTCCCTGTGAAACTGGAAACAGCCTTTTTGTCATTCCTGATGGTGTGAGCGGGCTAATCATGAATTTTGAGTGTCTCCTAATTGGCTCCTTACTTTTACCTTGTTTGAGTGGATTTAACATCACCTCCTGCCTTGCTCAAGCTTTCAGCTCTGCACCACAAATTCTTTCTCAGAGCAAGAGGAGTCTCCCAGCCTTATTTTGGCTGCAGTGAACATCAGAAGTGTTTTAGCTACCCAGAGAGCTCAGGCTGCTGCCAGTGCTGCTCCAGAGCTGAGAGAGCAGCAGCTCATCCAGCTGGGTGCTCCCCAAGGAGCTGCTCACCCCCTGATGGTGCCCATTGCTGGGGGAGGTGAAACAGGAAAGCCTTGTCAATATTATTGCCTGGCAAAAGATTTTGAGAATATGGAAACTGTGAGGGAGATTGAAATGAAAGCAAGCTTTGAGATCCCTCAGTTACTGAACAACTGGAAAACAATGGTGTGGCCAGCTGAAGGTGAAACAACACCCTGTGCTTGCAGACAGGCCCAAGGGTCAGAGCAGACCCTACAGCTTGGCAGAAGGGGTCCAAAGAGGAGTTTTTAGGGTTTAAAATGGAACACAGTATGGTAATGTAGTGATTCTTATAGGCTGTATGTAAATGCTGTAGGATTTGTATCTTGTACTAGATTGGTTAGTGAGAATTAGAATATTCAACACAGAAGAAGATTTATTGTATTGTAATGGGAACCTCGCTCTCTTACCCTTTTACTCTCTCACCCTCTCATCCTCTTTACCACTTTCTTTACTTCTCTTGGGCCTGGCCCAGCTGCGGCTGCAGCTCCCAGCAGGGCCCTTTGCAATAAACCCCAAATTCCACGCCCTGGCTGCAGAGATCTCTCCTCTCCATCCATCCCCACCATCCCACCCCCATCACCCCCACAGTCCCTGCCCTCAGGAAGGGTCAGTTCTGCCTACCTGGCTCGTACAGGTAATCCACCTGCTCCTGCTTGACCAGCACCGCTGCTGGGAACTGCTGCCCGCTGCCTGCCCGCTCTGCTGCCTCGTACTGGGGGTCCTGCTGCTCCTGCTTGAAGCCCTGCTGGGGGAACTGGAGGCACTGGTAGGCACTGGGGTCCTCCTGGGACGGTGGGAAGGGCTGGCACATCTCCAGAGGCCGCTGATAGGCAGAGCTAAGGAGGGAGAAGATGTGAGACCGCTGCTTCCTTGAGGATTTGCAGCCCCAGAAACAATGGGGGATCCCCTGAGCCTGTAGAGAAACTGTGGGGGGCTTGAGAGCTGACCGGCAACAAAGCTGAGTTAATAGAAGAAATAACAATTTATGATTTTTGAGTGTATCCATAACAAGGATGACAAGATTGTTAACAGGGAAACAGATTAGAAAAGATATATATATATATCTATATATCTGTATGTATAGATATATATATCTATATCTATATACCTATATATATCTATATGTCTATATATATCTATATATATCTATATATATCTATATATATCTATATATATCTATATATATCTATATATTTATTTATCTATATAGATATATATAGATATATAAAAATATATATTGATATTATCAATATATCTTACTATTAATATTAATAATATACCTACATTATTAATATATATTGATAGATATATAAAATATATCTATAAATATATCTATCTATTTTCTATATATAATATCTATAATATATAAATAACATTTCTGTAATTTTAAATAAAAATTATAAAAAAATTAAGGTAAAAA